TGAGTTGCTCTATGAGGACTGAAGCTGCTCAGCACCGAGGCCAGGCTGGTTATCTCACAAAGGGTAAAGTACTTTTTCCACCTATAATTGTTGATACATTTAACACTTACCTGCTAAAATGCACCATAGGAGAAAAATGATCTGTGAATTTTGTTTTCTTGGATTAAATTTAAGATCTGATAACTGAATTGCTCATGACAGTTTAAGGTCAATTTAGTGACATTCAGCTACAGTGCCTGTTTTTTTAAAAAAATTTTAATTAACTGGGTTAATTTGATTCTTAAAAGTTCTTAGAGTTTAAAGGGGATTTGAGTGCTTAAAACCCTACAGTTGTGACTTTTTAAAATGCTTGTTAAAATCTGTAGTCATTGTTTTTTTTCTGTAAATCTGTACCCAGAGACATTTTCCTGTGTTCTTGAATATTTCCTGTGTTCTTGAGCGTTCCAATATGTCTTGCTGCTTACGTCCTATACTTGAAAACCTTGTTCTATTAGAGATACAGTCAGTAAACATGCGTCATTAAATTTGACTTGGATAATTTTTTAAAACTAAGATCCTGGCAAAGAAAACAGACTGCTATTTACAGTATGTAATTCATGTATTTTTCACGTTTTTATTTTTAGTAATAAGAACTTTTTCTTCAGCTGCCTTGGTTATTACAGCCATGTTGAGTCTTACTTTACTTACCATAGTGTTTTAGCAACAAGTGGCATTGTATTTCAGATCAAATTTTTCTAAATAAACTCATTAATTACAGACTTATTGTGTGAAGACATAACTTTATTATATGAATGTATGGAATAAAGCTCTGATTAAATATTTATTTGGCAATGATTTGTAAGTGCCAGCTGACATAGCTGCCATTGTTTAGTAGGTGCCTGGAACTTTGTGCACACTTGCACACAGACACAAGACAGCTGTTTGTGTTGTTTGTGGTCAGTGTTTTAGAGTAAATTTTATGTTTCTTCAGTGAAATTTCTAAATAACAATCAAATCAAAGTCAAAGGAAGTATTTTAGTATAATTCTTACCAGCCTTCTCAACTACTGATTCCATAATATGAACCATAATTTAAATTCAGCAGCCTTACGTAATGATAACTACTTACTCAGTAGATGATTGCTTTTTCATGTGGATTTCTTTGAACTCAGTTTTTGGAATCATTAGCATTCCCATTTAGTATCTCTTCAAGGATATTTGTGTGTTTAAATTTTTTTCAAAGATTCGCTTGTTTATTTGAAAGAGAATTAGGGAAGGAGAGATAGAGATCTTCAAAACTCTGATTCACTTTTCAGATGACCTTGATGGTGAGGGCTGACCAGGCTGAAGCCACAAGCCAAGAGCTTTTTCCAGGTCCCACATGTGGGTAACAGGTATATAAGCACTTGAACTATTTTTTCAGTGCTTTTCTCAAACCATTAGCTTGGAGCTGGCTTGGAAGTAGAACAGCTGGGGCAAGAACTGGCTTCTGTAAAGGATGGTAGGATTACAGTAGATGACTTTACCTGTTATGCCGCAACATTTGCCCCTATTCAAGGATATTTGATAATGTATTTTAAAATTACTTTTTCTTTGAGATGCACAAGGGGGCAGAGGGAGAAAGGATGAGAATGCCGATATAAGCCCACTAGCCCTCCTATCTGTTGATTCATTTCCCAAATGACCCTGACAGTTGCAGCTGGCAGTGCAACCCAAGTCTCTCATGTAGGTGGCAGGGACCCAAATACCTGAGCCATCACTGCTGCTGTCATTGATCAGCATTTGGTAGAATGTTGGAATCAGTAACTAGAGCTTGGGCTCCAACTCAGATAAAGTGGATATGGGCATCTTAACTGTGAGTTAATTGTCTGCTTCAGATTTTGCTATATTATATAAAATTAGTTGGACTTTAATACCACTTTCCGTTGATTAATATTATGGAAATTTCTTTCAATGTAGAAATATATAAGAATAAAAAATTTAAAGAGACTTTAGATTTTTAGAATCTTCTGGTTTAATTTAGCGTCAACTGTTGTAATTATGTTAAAGTGCATCATGTTTCTTCTGGAAGCTCAGTATATAATTTTATACACTTCCAGCTAAGACTTCTGTTACATAGCTAAGTTTTCATTTCTAGGGATTACTAAAGGGACGATGTATAAAGCTTTATATCTTAAACTTTGTCACAATGAAGTTTTGGGGGGATAATGTGCAGATTCATTACCAACTCTATATCGTTTAAAGTTTTGCCTTTATACTTATAAAGTTTATGTTGTTCTGTTAGAAACACAATTGAGATTCCTGACTGGTATGAAGAAAAAAAGTCTGGTGTAGTTTACATTTCAGGAAAGCATTCAGCTGATGCATTTTGCCTCATCATCAAAGAAATTCAGGTTAAGCCTCTCCAACAATAGAAATGGAGTTTAATAAGTGGTCACACTCCCAAATTTGAGCTAAATTTCCATTATTATATTTTCCTTATCCTTCAGTAGAAATCTGAGTTAATGTTTTATAGCTAGACAACAGAAGAGTGGAAGAAGGAAATGACAGAGTCTTATAAATCTTAAGCAGGCAAATGAATATATGTGTAATTGGGTTGATAATCTCAGATTTCTGTTTGAATTACTTTATTATGGATTTCTTAACAGTCTATATTTTTATTTAATGAACTATTCTATACTGTATTCACACCTCTCTCAAAGGATAGCATATTGACATTTTGTTTGTAGTGCAGTGGAGAAAAGTAGCACATTTTTTTCCTGAATAAACTTATAAAACTTTGTCAATTCTCATATTACTATTTTTCCTTACTGTTACATACAGCTCTGTGCTTGTTTGATTATCGTGTTGGAGTAAATCACTGGAAGTAGAATTATTGGGTAAAAGATTTGTCTGATTTTAAGATTCTTGCTACAAATTATTAAATTACTTTCTGGAAAGATTTGGTACATTTATACCTTTATCCAGATTTCCTCACACTGTTGTCATTTGACATTGAGTAATGTCAGTACATTGGTTGGTTTGGGATAGGCTTATAGTGATATTTTAATGCTTGTATTTCTACTTCATATTGAGTTTTTTTTTCATGTTTTGGTTTTAATGTAGATATAATTGTGGTGAGCTGTGTTTGGCTTAGATATGCAGTAGTATCTAAGACTTGTTTGGCAAATAGATGACTTCCATACAGTTCCATCTTTGCTTCTCCATTAGCTAAGTTCACCTTGGCTGATTTCCTTTTGTGTTTGCTTTCACAGTGCTGGATGATGTGCTTTTGTTGCCACTTCCTGCTTCCTGAGTTTTAGGTGTTACCTGTTGGTTTCTGTCTTTAGAAAATGAAGATCTGATCCTCTGTTCTGCTTCCACCTCCATGCATATCCCTTCTCCTCTCAGGCAGTTAGCTCCTTTAGTAAGCTGTCTTGTTTTCAGCCGTTCTAACCTCTCCTTGAGAAACCTTTGCTGGACCTTTGTGGGAGGGAATATCTAGAATCCATGTTGTAATTTTTGAGGTATTTTTTTTTTTTTAGTAAAAATGGATATAAAAATGTTTCATTTGCTATCTCCAAATGAAAATTTTCATGTTTATAGAGTAGTAGTTAAAACTGTAGCCTGTAGGGTCAAGACTGTCTGAATACTAGTTTAGCTTTTTGCTAGTGACTGTGGACAAGCTGTCTAAAGTCTCTAAATTTCAATTTCAGTGTTAGTTTAGAATTTATGATAGCTACCATAGAGTGTTGTAAGGATTAGGTGTAAGGTGTAGTAAAGGGCTTACTACAGTATCTGCTGTCTAATAGTATCTTAGTATATATAAGCAGTTAAGCTATACTTTTGTCACATTAGTAAGCTTTGCGATTTTTTTTAAACTAATGACCTTTGTCCATTTTTCTTTTGGAATACTGTCTTTTTTTCTTAACCAGAGATGCCTTTTATGGAATCTGTCATTGGTTTTTAAAATTTTTATCCATGGAATTTGGGATATGTCAGCATGTCCATGTTACTTCATATTGTGATCTCAACTTTTGTTGTCAAATTTTGTGTTTAAAATATATGTATTTACTCTAAAGGCATGTAAAGAGGAGAGAGGAAGAAGAAGGGAGAGATACGGATCCTCCATCCATTGACTCAATCCCCAGATAGCTACAATGGCCAGGGCTTGGTGTCACTGAAGCCAGGGGCCTGAAGCTCCATTCATGTCTCACATGTTTGTGGCATGGGCTCAAGGACTTAGGACTTCCTCCACTGCTTTCTCAGGCCATTAGGGAGATGGATTCTAAGTGGAGTAGCCAGGACTGCTTGAATCATCGCTCATGTGAGATGCCATGTGTTGGTTTAAACTGCTGTGCCACAATGCCTGCTCCAAGAAACTAGGTATTGATACAGAAGAAGGGTATGTTTATGTATATGTTGTAAAATTAGAGCCATGTGGGTCAGAGGAGATTATTGTGATAACTGAGAATATCGCTAAAGGCAAATGAAAGCGAAAGAAGGCTTGTTTCAAAAATTGTGTAAGGTAAATATGTTTTGTGATACTTTTGGTTACACTTGTGATAGTTCCTTTCATTGAGAAATTAATTTTAAAGGCCTTTTTGATTTGTTATTGTCTGCTCAAGTAAGTTTCATTTGAAAATTTACAGCTTTTAGTTTCTGCCTTAATACCCAATACTATGAAATTTCACATCCAAATTTGACTCTTGAACAGTCACATTTAGTATTTCCCTGAATTCATGTTGAGTTAATGAATTTGCTTTCTTAAGAAAATCTTATGTTGATATGATATTATTTTCAAACTGCATATCAACATACCAATTGATATTCTATAGTTGAATATCGTATATTATGGATATATTCATATTCCAAAGTTATAGATACTTCATTTATTCCTTTGTTTGATTTTGCTGACTTGTCATTTTAAATAGTGCTGGCTTTCAATTTTCGTTTGTTTAATTTGATAATTAACTGTTTGAGTCTTCGTTTCTTCCATTCTTCGTTCAACTTATGATTCCTCTAAATTTAATGTGTTTGCAGATTCAGACCAGGATGTAGCACTCAAACTTGCCCAGGAGCGAGCTGAAATAGTTGCTAAATACGACAGAGTAAGTATTTATATTTATTTTTTGAGTAAGTTTATTAGAGAAACCATATAAATAGAAATGGTTTTATCTTTTGTAGAGCTTTAATTACAGAAGGAATTTGTTGACTTCATGGAAGCACTGAAGTCATCTTTTTAAAAATTATTATTTAACTTCATTTTCAAATTCCCTTCGTTCTTTGTCTCCAACTCAGCCAGTCTAGTCTGTCACTATTCCTGCAGCACAGCAGGTTTGCTTCTGCCTCAGATGAACCTCCTAGAACATTTGTAACATTTGTATTCTTCTATCCTCATACCTCATGGCCAGTTTCATCTGAACACTACCTTGTCTGATCTTCTCTGACCTCCCTCCCTCCCTATTCAGTACCCCCACTTACATATCCTGACATTCTGCACCCCCTTTTTTCACCATAACACATTCTATATGTTTTTTTTTTTATGTGTTGTTTGCTCTTCATCCTAAAATGTAAACTCTGGCGGCGGGAATTTTTTCTGTAGATACATGTCCTAAATACCTAGAACAGTTCTTGACTCGTACTAGGAATTGAATTAACACTTTAATCTATAGAATTAAATAGCCACTGTCTTCATAATTTATATGTAGTCCTACAAATTTATCATAGTTCTTAGATTTTTGCTTCATACATTTTAAATTTCCTTTAGCATTTTAGCATTACATTAATAAGGAATCTTGCTTTTGGTGTTCTGAGAAGTCACAATTATTGATTTATATGCCTCCTTATTATTCTACCTCCTCAGTTCTACAATGCATTGTAGCTATGATGTATAAATATCATGTTTTGCATCATTCGCATGCAGTTATATTCTCTGTTCCCTTTTATTATTTGTGAGAATAAAAGGGACATAAAAATGTAGAAAGCCATATGGGCTGTGCCCTGCTTCCAGGGAGGTATAAACACAGGGCTCAACTTAAGTTAGGATCCCAGAGTTCATTTTTTGGTTGGTTGTGTAGAACATCAGCCAGAATTTCCCATGATTGTAATTAGGTTTTAGTGTGGTTCATGAAAAACCTAGTTAATTTCTTTTAACTGCTTAACTAATATAAAAACCAATTATCATTTATTAATGTTTCTGTGCATTTTCCCCCAAAGCTAACTAAGATGAATATTGTGCTAAAATTTGGGGATTTATAACAGAAAGGAGATTCAGTAATCTTTGCTTACAGAATGCTGACAGTTTATTCAGACGCAAAATGTGAGCAGACAGTTAAAAAATTTACTCATATGGAAGTATCCACAAAAAAGTGGATGTTTGGGATTCCTACACTGATCACTGTTAGTCAGCAGCCTTAGAGTAAATGATGTCTGGTGTGACAGGAACTCAGTGCAGAATTCTGGGTAGACCAGCAGTTAGGAATTGCACATGGGGAGCGTGTGTTTGGCATGGTAGTTAAGATGCCATGCGGGATACATGCACAGAGAGTATGTATATCAGAGACCTTGGTTTGAGTTCTGGTCGTGCCTCTGGTTACAGCTTCCCACTGGTGTGCAGCTTGGGAGGCAGTGGGTGATACCTCAAGTGCTTGAGTCCGTCTGTGTGGGGAGGAGACCTGGACCAACTTCCAGGCTCATGGTGGTATCCTGACTGGTGCCTGGCTGTTGTGAGCACTGGGGAGTGAATTCGAGAATCAAAGTGTGTGTTCACTCTGTTTCTCTCTCAAATAATTGAGTAATCTATTAAATAAATAACTTTTAAAAGTTGCTATTGGAAAAATGTATCGAAAGATGAGTTCTAGAGGCCTAAGGAGAAGCATTTAGAGGACCAGTGCCCCCTCAGTACACATGAGCGTAGCTTCTTGTGTTTCTGACTAGGAAATAGTGACTACATTTCCAAAAATTTAAGTTTAGAGAAAATTGTAAGGCTGATAATGTCTCATTTCCAACTCTTAGTATAACACAAAAATATAGCGCTTGCTTTTTGGTCTTTTTTTCTTTACCCTTAGCAAATTATTCAGTTCATATCTTGCAGCAAGTACCCATTTTTGTCATTTCAGGGACGAGAAGGTGCAGAGATTGAACCTTGGGAAGATGCTGATTACCTTGTTTACAAGGTTACGGATAGATTTGGATTTTTACAGTAAGTTTGCAAATTGATACCTAGATTTATTTTTATTTTTGGCTGTGTTGTTTCTATAATCATCTAGTATATTGATTTTTCTTTATTATTATATTAATTTTCTTTATTTTTAATAGAAATTTTGTGAACAAGACTCCAGGAATGGCCTCTAAGTTTCCTTTTTGGGGGGCTGCATGTCTGATATTTTTAACTTTTATGTTTAAAATTGAAGTACCACTAAGGAGACAAGCCATAATATTCTTTGTATTTTGGTAAGAATATTAAGTATAGTAAATGTGTTATATTGATTATTTAGTGAAGTTAAATACAATAGGGCACTAATTTGTATTTTAAAAATTCTTATAAAACATTTCATTTCAGATAAGGGCATTTTGAAAGTAGTAAGCAATTATAACTTTAGTGTTTTATAGCCTAAAAGTGAGAAATAAAATAAAATGTCATTGATCTTCCTTGTAGTTATTAATGAATTCTCAGAATTGATTCCATTTATCGCTGCACAAAGAGTTTGGAAAGGGCCAACATAATGTAGAATAAAATGGTTAAAGCGACTTTGATTACATTATCCTGCAAGCGGGGCAGCCATTGTGTGCAGCACTGAAAACACTCCTCTGCGTGCTTCCTTCACATATCAGAGTGTCTGGCTTTAAATCTTGGTATTTCCAGCTCCCTGTTAGTGCATATTAAAAGCTAGCAGATGATGGTTCAAGTACTTGTGTCCCTTCCACCAAAATAGGAGGTCTGGATTGTGTTCATGACTCCTTAGCTTTTGTCTGGCTCAGTCCTGGCTGTAGAATTAATTAGGGGAGTGGGCTGGCGCAGTAATATCCCTCTCCTTGCCTTTGTCTTCCGAACAAAAATAAAAGGGAAATGCACACTGCGTGTGATGAGCTTGTCATGGTTCTGGCATTGTTTCATCACAGACTGGGGGACATCTATTCATCTCCAGACTTTGGTGTTCCATACAATTTAGGAATTAATTTTCACTCAGGTAAATTTTTTCTAGTTATATTTATCATAAACAAAAGAAAAATCAAGAATTTTATCTTTATAATGCCATCATATAGTTCATAGCAGAGTCATAAGTAATTATGCTCTATTTTCTCCTGTTTTACTTTTCATTAATGTTTTTATTTCATGAAAACTTTTTTTTTTTTTAAATTCTGTGAGTGAAACAAGCAAAACGAACAAATGGAAACCCTTCTTTGGGTTAGGTACTGTATGTTCTTGTGTCTTTGTTGGTTTTCAGTTAGTTGACCTTTTCATGTTTAATCTGTAAGGCGGCAGTCAATAACTTCTTTAAGTATGAGGGCACTTGACAAGGTTGTGGAAAATGGAATTTAAGGGCCTGGCTCAGTAGCCTAATGGCTAAAGTCATCTCCTTGAACACGCCGGGATCCCTTGTGGTCACCAGTTTGTATCTCAATGGCCCTGCTTTCCACCCAGCTCCCTGCTTGTGGCCTGGGAAAGCAGTCAAGGATGGCCCAAATCCTTGGAACCCTGTACCCGGCAGAAGTTCCTGGCTCCTGCCTTCAGATCAGCTCAGCTCTGGACATTGTGGCCACTTGGGCAGTGAATCATCAGATGGAAGATCTTCCTCTCTGTCCCTCCTGTCTGTGTATCTGACTTTCCAATAAAAATAAATCTTAAAAAAAAAAGAGAGAAAATATAATTTAAAAAATAAGTTTAATGTAAAAATGTTGAGATTAATGTATGGTTTTGTACTGTGCATTTTTAATGCTCAATTTGAAGATCTCAGAGCATTGAGGCTTTGAAGAAATAAAATGTAAGAATATTTTATATTTCCAAAGAATATGTTACTGCTATTCCTCATAATATTAGCATATCTGAAACATCATCAGGAGTAATTAGAATCAGAACACTTTGAGCTTTTGTAGACTAAGAGAGCAATATTTAATCGCGATGAAAAAACTGTTCTTAAATTAAACTTCTACCCCCACTTTATTTTTAAAATCAGGCTTAGCCATGAATGTGACAGGAAATGATGGCACATTTGTTGTGTTAACCTGCAGATCTAGGGTATGTTAATAATATTTTGAAGGGCAGTTTTAGCACAAAGACTTTTGAAATCTAATCGGTCTCTAACTTGCCTGTGTATTAGGATTAGCTAAGAGATTAAAAAATTTTGTCCTTCCTTTTTGAGTTTTGAATCAGAAAGTAGAATTCAGCCTAGTTGTCTGACCTTCTGAAGTATTTGTGATGGGAGTGAATCATTGGATAATGTTTTTATTGTAGAAAACATTGGTTTAGCATAAGTTATGTATGAAAAACTTGTGTATTTCCAAAATGTTTATTGATTACCTAAATTTCCTTTTCTTGACGCTTGAAACATGAGCTGAGCCTTAGAAACAAGTAGTTCTGGCTGACAGCCTAACCTATATTTTGTAATCTAAAAATTATAGTTAGTATTTCGTGTTTATTTTTTGTTTTTCACTATGAGTTTCACTTGGCTCTAGTGGGAAAATGTCAATAATTTATGTTAATAATATTAGCTGGTTTTTATTGAGCACTTAAAAGGTGCCAAGCAGTATTCCAAACCCGTACATTGACTTAACTCATTTATTCCTCTAAAAAACTCTTCGGGAAAAGTGTGCTTTCTGGCACCTTTTTAAAGATAGACAGCATCCTAAAGAGGTGAAGTGACTTGACCAAGTTAAACTGGGGATATGGCCTCTACTTGGCAGTCTTTCCACTGGGCACCTGTGTAGGTTAGTTATTGTATTTTACTGCCTGCTTTTTACCGTCTTGTATTTTTCGTTGGTGAAATATGAAATAGGTGCTTTCAACACTGTTGACTGCTGGCTAGCCTGGCTTCCTTTTCGCTAAAATAATAATGAATTGTAGTTTGCAGAGATTAAAATAAGCAAAAATCTATTGAAGTATGTTCCAAGGGATGACCAGGCCAGATGTGAGACCACATAGACGCCTTTCTTCCTGGTTTGGGCTTTTATCCCTAAAATATCAGGAGTGTTGGAGTAGTGATTTAGCTGTGATGCTCATGAGTGGCATTTTTGATTGATACCTTGAACTCTACTCATGTGGTTATAAACCTGACTTACTGATTTGGGTGTTTAAACCTTGAAGTGGGTTGTCTTGAGTGTTTCCCAGCAGACAGCCAGGTTTCTGGTCCCTCCCCTGGATAAGGGTTTTGTCTAGTTATCTGCCAGACGCCACTTGGAAATGCCTAGAAAAGAAAATTGAAGGGGAAAGTAGAGTACTGAAGAGGAAGCTATTGTTTGAAATGATCTAAGCTCACAAGTATTTTGAAAATGAACACATTGATACAGTTCCTGCAACACACACTGATTTTTAAAAAAAGATTTATTTATTTATATTTGAAAGGTAGATTTTACAGAGCTACAGAGAGAAAGAGAGACAGAGAGATCTTCCATCTGCTAGTTCACTCCCCAAATGGCTGCAGTGGCCAGAGCTGAGCAAATCGGAAGAAGCCGGTTGCTAGGAGCCTCCTCTGTGTCTCTTACATGGATACAGTACCCCAAGAAATTGGGCCATCCTCGTCTGTTCTCTCAGGCCACCCTCCACTGCTCTCCCAGGCCACAAGCAGAAGGCTGGATCAGAAGTGAAGCAGCTGGGACTAGAACCAGTGCTCATATGGGATGCTATCACTACAGCATCACTACAGGGCAGAGAATTAGCCTGTGTGTAACCACACAAAGACCTGATTTTTTAATATGATAGAGTCCTAAAGCAGGCACTTCAAATTAGAATACTAGAGCAGAGAAATGGATTTTAGTGTAATGTTAGGCTTTGTAAAATTTCAACTGTCATTGACTTTTGTTATGATGCCTAATACAAATGAAAACTTCTGACGGAAGTTGATTTTGGTGACTTTTCTTACTACCATAAACTGGATGTTTTTGCACTACTGAGTGAAATTGCTTGGTTTATGTACTTAGATGTTAAACTCCATCATACCTTGACATGAAGAACATTTCTTTGTATTTTCTTAGTTCTTCATAATTTTTATTGTGTTAAGAGTCAGTGTACAATAAAGTGGCAAAAAAAATGACTTTGTAATATTCTGAAGGTTACTGAGTTTATGTATCCAATGATAGTTGTAGAAACTGCACTTGTTAGGATATATATGAAGGAGGAAAATGATTAGCAAAGATGGTAAAGCACTAGTTGGTTTTATAATAGATTTTATAATAAATATTAAACTCTTGTCAGACCAGCCTGGTTTGTGCTAGAACAGCAGTATCTTTGTTCTATATCTGGTAGTGGAGTGTCATCCTCATTCTGCAGCTGGAGAATGGAGAGCTAGCGCTTGTGAAAGAAGTTAGAGAACTTTAACATTTTGGTCAAAAATAGTCTCTGCTAGTCAGCTGAAGAAAGAATGCTTGGTATTTGGACAGATAATGCTTTTAGTCACAAGTTATTAATAGAAGACTTAAAAGAAACTATACTGAAAATAGGAGAGATAAAATGAATACCAAGTATCAGATTTTCATGTTTTATGAAAATGTGTATTTATTACATTCAGCCGTTTGTGTAGTTTACAGTGACTGTGCAAATATTTGTGAACCAGGATGGAAGGGGTTTTTTGTTTGTTTATAAGTACCTGTTTTGGTTACAGGGTTTGAGAGCTGTTTCTGCCAGGCTTGTACATTTTGACTTGAGTGAATGTAATCTTAGATACAGTTTTTTAAACAAAAAAATTCGGTCAGTATATTCAACTTACTGATTTTACCAAGTTAAATTTTAAATTTCCAAAGGAAAGTTGTTCTCATGTTTACAGAGATACTACATTGTGACCTAATGGGAATTTAACAGACCACATATACTGTATTTAGTAAATGTATTTGAGTTTAATAGTTGACGAAAATTATATCCAGTTAAGATCCCTCTCTTTCTAGGGTTGGCTGTGTTTTTTACTTAATTGCATTTCCCTGCAATACAGCTGTTTGCTTTCAGCTTAGTGATTTTTTTTTTTCAAGATTTATTTATTTATTTGAAACGTGGAGTTACAGAGAGGAAGGGGGAGAGACACAGAAATCTTCCATCTGCTGATTTGCTCCCCAAATGGCTGCAGTAGCTGAAGCTGAGCTGGTTCGAAGCTTGGAGCTAGAGCTTCTTTGAGATTTCCCACGTCAGTATCAGTGTTGGGTCCCAAGCACTTTGGCCATCTTCTACTGCTTTCTGAGATGCATTAACAGGGAGGTAGGTGAAAGTGGAGCAGCTGGGACTGAAACTGGAACCCAAATGGAATGCCTGTGCTACAGGCAGAGGCTTTATTGGCAATGCCACAGACCTGATCCCTTTGTGTTTTAGGCGATCTTTTCTTCTGTATAGCAGGAATTGACAAACATTTTCTTTAGAGAACCAGATATTAAATATCTTTGTTCTGTGGGCCATAGGGTCTTTAATGCAACCACTCAACTCTTGAGATTGCACCACGAAAACAACTCTAGAGAATATATGAGTGAATGAACATGCCAATGTTCTTTTAAAACCATTTATAAAAGCAAGCAATGAGTTTGCTTTGACCTGTGGGCCATGGTTTGCTGACAAAACGGAATATGCTGAACTCGCCCAGTTTGTGGTTCTTTCTGTTTTATTCCTGAAGGATTTCTAGATGACAAGGTGCAGATTTATCATGCATGCAGACTGGCACGTATTGGCCCTTTCATTCACACATCCATCAATTCAACAACTTTTCCTAAGTTTTGCAGTGTGTTAACATGTACTCTGGACATTGCCTGGAGCTCTTAATGAGACAGCGTTCACCTGTGTTCTCAGCACATTGGTTGGTTATGCCAGTGGAGTCATTTAAGGAAGAAAAGGTTTATGGAGATCTGTGTGTGCATACAGCAGGTGCTGTCCAAAGGTTTTAAATATGAAGGGGTAATGCCAGAAAATCTGGAAAGGAAAGCTGGACCGACTCTTGTTTTGCCCTCCATCTGTGAGGTCTGAAGATCTTGAGAAATGAGTTTTCAATTTCCATCTCTTTCTTCATGTTGCCTAGATTAGCTGAAGATCATGTGCATCTCAATTTGACCCTCTGGGATTATACTTTTTTTTTTTATGGTGGTGGTCAGTTCTGTTGCTGTTGCTTATTGGTTCACTTGAAGATTCTTCCGAATAACAAAAAGGAGCGTCTTTGAAAATAGTGAACTCTTGAATATTAAGCTGTCATGTTCCTACAAGTGGCATTTGGTCTCAGGAGAAACAAAGGCAAGGATGTACATGTGTCAGGGGCAAAGTGTGAATACTGCTTAGAAGCTAGTCAAAGCACTTAACTTTGCTTATGGGTAGTGTAGTGTTTGTATGTTACCAGCAGTTAATACGTGGGTCTTGGAATATTTTATATTAAAGGTGATCTCACACAAATGCTAGATCAGAAAAATGAGTTTGGTTATTTACTATATAATTTTTAAAAGTGTCTCAAAGATTTGGCAGTTCCTTATTACACAGAGTAACAATGGGAGTTTTCAGTTTAGTTCGTGATTTTTTTCAGGATGTTTTTCCCATTTATTTACTTATTTAGAGATTTATTTCTATACCTGAAAAAACAAAATTAGAAAGAGAGGAAACACAGAATGAGATTGATCATCCACTAATTCACTCTCCAGATGGCAACAATGGCCAGAGCTGAACCAGAATGAAGTCAGGAGCCTCATTCCCAAAACAGAGGGGCCCAAACCCTAGGGCTATCTTCTACTGATTTCCTCAGGCAGGAAGCCTGTATGGAATGGCGGCATCACAGCTGGCGGTTTTATGTGCTACTACTTAACACTGGCCTCCTTTTCTGGTTTTTAAAGGATCATTTATTTTAGGTCATAGTTTGGGCCAAGAGTGGAAGTAGTGATCTAAAGTAGAGCTTGGCAAACTGTGACCTGTAGGCTTGATTCTGCAGGTTTCCTTTTTTAATAATGAAAGCTTGGTAAGACCAAAGCCACATTTGATTTACATATTTCTGTGGTTGCTTTTGCATCACAATCTCAGAGTTCAATAGTTGTGAAAAATTCTAAAATATTTACTATTAAATATTGATCCCAGCAGAAGCATGCTTTCCTCACTCTTGGTCTAGAGCGTTGTTGTCTGACAGAACTCTAATTATCTGACCTTCATGCATTTGAACTGTAACAAATGAAGCTGAGTATTGCAGTGTTACATTTTAATTCATGTTTAAATAGCCTCATGTGGCTGCTGTATTGCACAGTGTAGATCTGCAGATTTAAAGATAGGAACTGTTGTAATTATAGAATAGCTGTAATTTTATTTTGAACCCAGTGAAGTGGAAGTTTATGTAATTCCTGTATTGACAGATAAACACTGAATTTCTTATATAGGCATAGGTTTATAATTGCTAGTTGTGCTATGGTCTCAGTTGTTTAACATGTATTATCTTTACTCTGCAGCGAGGAGGAGCTCCCATATCATAATGCAGCTGTGGAACGGGTAAGTCCAGCTCTTCCTTTATTTATAGGTACCAGTGAGTTGTCTGTACCAGACGAGTCAAATCTACTACTTTTGTGATTTGAGTGCCTTGTTACTTATATCACTCATAAAGTAAACTAATGATGACATAAGTTTTCAGGGGCTTGACTTGACTTATGAATACTTGAAAGGAAGTTAGGGTAACAGTTACCAGAGGCCTCTAAGATCCCAGTGGCTCAAACTCCGCCTCCATACTCCATGAAGTCAGTCTCTCTGAACCAGGGGCCCAGCAAGATAGTTTTTAAAAAGCTGTACAGGTATTTCTCAGGCACCATCTGGCTAACCATGTGCACCATTCTAACTCATCGGAACACAGCTGCTCTGTGATATGTTAGTTGACAATAGTAGGTGTTTTCTGTAGTCAGTTAAGTGAATTGGTCATCATTTGTTTAACCTTTCCTCATTATGCTTAGCAATGGTTCCATACCTGGGTATGCCTGGGAAGTAGGAATTGAATGTTTTAAGGCTTATTAGACTCTCCCTTCCTCTCTATATTTAATTCTGTTCCCCAAAATGAAATATAGGATCAAAGTGAAGATGTTGATTGCAATGGGGGTTCTCATTTTGTATATGTTTAATGAGGGAAGGGAGCTTAGGTAAAATTGAAGTAAAATTTGAAAAACATTTTAAAAAATCTTCCTGAAATCAAGGCTTTATAAAAATAAAATTCATGTGAAAACTTTAACATGTGGACAAAATAACCATTTCCCACATATGAGAGGGCTTCAAGTACTTTGGAGAAAATGTACAGTATCCCATTTTGTTTGAAACGGCCTCATACAGAGATCTCAGTAGGAACTTCTGTAGTTGAGTTGTCTTGTCATGACCTGGTTCTTTGTTGGCATGGAGCCTTAAAGATTTTGGTAAATGAAATTCTTTTTCCTAATAGCTGTGTTATTGAGTAACAGCCATATATCTAGCAATCGGCAAGTTTCTGCCTAGAACAATTGGAATGAATATGAAATATACTTTGCCTTTGAGATGCTCAATATCCAATGACTAGAGGAAGACATAGTGAAACAGAAGGTAGGAAATTGTTGCTATAGAATATTATTTGTAAAATGAAATGGTAGTGTTGATAGTGGGGAAAACATTCTATTTCGATGAAGAATGCATGAAGTGAAGTTAAAATAATGATGAGCACTTTGTGAGTTTTGCCTCTGGTGAGCTTTGTATCTGCCTGTTTGGAGGAGGATGTGAAGGTTTTTTGGCCATTTGACCATCACCTCTCCTGTCTAGTGGCCTGACTTTACTGTTGCTGACCCACTGGGTAACCTACTGTATGAGATCTTCATTTGTGTCTTCTCTCCTGCTCAGATTGTATAATTTACTAGTACAGATGGCCCCTCACTTGGCATCGTTCCATGGTTCCATCTTCCGCATTTTTTCCTTTATAATGTTGTGAAAACAGGACATATTCAGTAGAAGTATCTTTGGAATTCTGAATTGTGATATATTCCCAGACTAGCAACATGTTTGATGGGCTCTCCCAGTACTTCCATTCAGTCCCACAGTTCTGAGATATAGGCCACGCTCCACGGTGTACTGTACTTGGTTCCTAAGAGAGGAATTGCTTAGATGGGTTCAGTCCATTTTCAACTTACAATGGGTTTATCAGGGTGTAACCCCATTGTGATGTAAGGAGCATCTGTGTAATCACTCAGTTGTTTGTCTTCTTGCTTTTAGGGTGAAATACTATACTAGTTAAAGCCAGCTTTCAGCTCCTCCTAGCGCCTGCAGGTGTGTGGCTAAATACCACCTGGAAAATTATGCAGCTGTGCTGACTAGGTTTTTGCTTTAAATTCATGATCAGCTGGACCGTTAGTGTTGCCTAAAACTGTACTCTTTTTGTATTCTCCTATTTCTGTCATTTGAACCTTCTCTCCTCAAATCTCCAATGTCTCTGTCCTGCTCTTGCTTCTGATTTCTCACAAGGAAATCCCCCCCACACACTCGAAGCCATCAGGAGAGAGCCCTCCTGAGCTGCCCCCACCTTTCTCTGTGGCTGACTGGCTGGCTGCTGCTGTGGGTGCAGAGGTGCCTCTTCAGGGGCAGGGGTCTAGCTGGCTGTCCCTCTGCCTCCTCATGTCTTTCTCCTTAGCCTTGATTAGGCACGTCAGAGTGAACTCTGTTACTACTACTCCCATTAAAAAAATCTTTTGACCTGATTTCCTGCTTAGCCTCAGCCCTGATTCTGTTTCTCTTAATAGCATAACTCTTTTTAAAGAAGTTTCTATTTTATCTTTTCCATTCCCCACCCCCTGTACTTCCCTCTTGTGTCTGTGTAATCAGATTTTAACCCGTCCCTATCACCCCTGTCCCATGACCTCTATCAGGCTCTCTGATTACCTCTATTTGTTTACATCCCATAATCAATTCTCAGACCAAACCATCACATGTGCTTGACTGCTGAGTACATTTGCTTTCTTGGACATCAGAACTCCATTTTCTTTCATATTCTTTGTTCTGGTAGCTCTTTTCAATTGCACTTCTTCTGCCAAGTTTCTGCACTTTGGGATATCCTGGTGGCTGCCAGCCTCCTCTACAGAAGGGACCTACAATGTGATAACGTTGCTCTTAACTCTCTGACCTTCCCTCTTTCCACCTTTTCTTGTTTGCTTGCTGGCTTCTTAGCATCTCATGAGCGTGCCAGCCACATTGCTTCATTTCGGCATGTTTTTGCTGCTGCTGCTACTGCCTCCTCCCCCATTGCTAACCAGCACCTGAGTCCCTCATTCTCTTGACATAGTCAGATATGATGCTTGGAATAAGACCATCTCTGGCCATTCAATCTAAAATTTGAAATTGTCTCTCCCCCGAGAGGTAATTGCCCTCCTTTTATCTTTATTTTTATTGTTAGCATTTAATGCTGTTTCAAATATTATATATTTTTACTTATTCTCTGTTTTCCTCAGTCCAGCATGACCTATACATGGGCAGTTTGCTTTCTTCAAAATGCTTTGTTCATTGTTGTGTCCATGGAATGTAGAACAGGACTTAGCAAACAGTATGTATGCACAGAATGTGACCTGAATGAATGACTTGATTAAATGTAATAGCCTCTTTATTACATTAGGTACATTGATTTAAAAAACTGGCAGAGGTGATGCTTTCAGATGTTACGATACCTTTTATTTAAGAAATTAGGGAAGAGTTGGAATATATACATATAAACAATTTCCATTTAACAAAATAAAATCTGGCAGCCCAATTTTTACTTCTTTCCCTATTGCCTCCCCAGCTGTTTGTATAGTTTACTAATGCAGAAGAGCCCAAAGTGTTCAAACTGGTGATTTAAATGACTCAAGAAATATAATAGTGAAGAAAAAGAAGAAATGTAGATAGAACTAGTAGAGGATGCATGCAAGAGGAAGTTTTTGTGGTTTTTTTGTTTTGTTTTTTAATAGGCTTGTTTATTCAATAGAAAATTCTTACCCAGTGGAGTTAGGCTTATGATTAATTGCTTGTTTATTCTAAAAAGTTTAATATGATGGTGCTTCATAAAGTTCATGGAAAATGAAATTAAAGGATAAGTATATTTTGGTGCAAAAAAGTTTTGATATCTATGCAGTTTTACCATAAAGACATTTTCCATAAACTTTTTGAAAACTGCTCATGCATAGGTTTTATTTTGTTTTTGTTTGTATCAGATCAACATATTTTAATCCCATTTCAATGAACTTTTCTAGTACTGTCATCATAGGGAATTGCTAAAGAGTGACCTATGTTTACCTTCATAATCTATTTTTAAGCAAGCTGTCATTGGACATTTACTTGTCTTAAATGTTTGTCCTTTGGGACGGGGACAGGGTTCTAAGGCTGCTGATGGAGCTTCCATGAGACCTTTCCTACACATTCTGCACTGATATATGACCTACCTTTTGCAACTTTGGTTTTTAAAGTAGAATGAAACTTTTTATCCTCCTCATCCCCACATTTTTCTGGAAGTTTCTGTATCCTGTGGTGACTGCCTACTCATCGTGGCCATCATCTGCCAATTTTAGGAAACTAATAAAAAGTATTTTACATACATGTTTTCAATTGAATGAAATCATTGGGAACAATAGCCTTGTATAAGTCTACACATGAAGCTATACGTTTTGTCATTGGGAAGACTAGTACCTTAGTACATCATGAGGTAATCATGGTTTTAGTTCCAGCTTTGCCAGTGTATTATTTTACGTAAGGCATCCTCTGTTTAAAATAGGAATGATAATCCTTTCTTGTAAGAGGATTAATGTTGGTGTTTGCAAAGTGCTTTGAATTTCCCCAAACAGCCACTTAAACTAACACATGCACTTATTATACTTAATCTGTAGAGAACAATATTAATAATGGATTATATTGTTTCTTTGAGCTTATTGATGTTTTTTAATAAGGAGAGATAACAAAGCTGTGAATTTTCATTGCTTCAGATATTCATGTAGTGCCATATTTTGCATTGTGCGTAGATTATTGACATCTTATTTCTTTATAAAACTATATCCTAATTGTACATGATGTGAAATCATACTCAGAATGCATAGCTGATAGTTCCTTTTGTAGACGTGGATTTTGTTGTAAATCTTGTTCTCTCCTGACCTCTACTGGTGAGATCCAGGCATGCGTGACTTCCATCAGTTTCATTCTAGTAGTAAGGAGGTGAAAAAACAAACTTTAGGGGCTGGTGCCATGGTGTACTAGGTTGGTTTTCTGGTGTGTTTTTTTGTTTTGTTTTGTTTTGTTTTTGTTTTTTTTTTGTGCCGGCATTTCATATGGGTTCTGGTTTGCGTCTCTGCTGCTGCACTTCAGATCTAGCTCCCTGTTGTTAACCTGGAAAAGCTATAGAGGATCGCTCAAGTTCTTAGGTCCCTGCAGCCTTGTAGGAGACCCCGAGGAGGCTCCTGGCTTCAGGTGGGCTCAGCTCTGACCTTTGTAGCCACTTGGGGAGCAAACTAGCAGATGGAAATTCTCCCTCTGTC